TGAACCCAGTCTGGGGAAGCCCCTAGGATTGCTGCAGTTGATGGCGGACCCCAACCAACCTTGGCAGGACATAGCCTGACTTTATTGTAGACTTACCTAGCAGCCAGGGATATACAGTGATTTGGACTGTGGTGGGTATATTCTCCAAGCAGGCCCATTTCATTCCCTGTAAAGGGTTACCTTCTGCCCGGGAGCTGGCACGTATGTTCCTGTTACAGATCTATCGACTTCACAGCGCTCCACATCAGATTATCTCGAACCAGGGAGTCCAATTCATGGCTCGATTTTGGCAGGATTTTGTACATCTCCCTGGATCCCATCAGGGGCTAAGTTCAGCATACCAACCGAGTACCAACGGAGCTGCTGAGAGGGCAAACACTGTGGTCGAACGATATCTATGGAGTTATGTTTCGTATCAGCAAACAGATTGGGCAGACCTCATAGTGTTTGCCAAGGTGGCCTATAATAACGCTGTGCACAGCAGTACTGGATTTACTCCTTTCAGGGTGGTTTCGGGCAGAGAGTTCGTACCTATGCCAGAGTGTAGCGATCGAGGCCGACCTATACGGAGACCCAGGAACGCTGCTCAATACCCTAACCAGTTAACAAGTCCTCGACGTGGTGTGCTGTAGTGGCTGTGAGAGACCGACAACTTTGACACGTGGCTTGCAAAGGCAAAGCACCAGTCGCGCTGGCTCCGGCCCTGCAGCCACCCCTCCAGCCGCTCCCAGCACCATCACCCACCCTGTGCATCCCTGTAGAGCCAGCCCGGCGGCTCGCAAAGGCAAAGCACCAGCTGCACTGGCTCCAGCCCTGCAGTCACCCCCCAGCCGTCCCCCAGCACCACCACCCACCCTGAACATCCTTGTAGAGCCGGTCCCATGGCTTGCAAAGGCAAAGCACCAGCTGCCCCAGCTCCAGCCCTGCAGCTGCCCCCTCCAGCCGCCTCCCAGTACCACTGCCCACCCTGTGCATCCCCATAGAACCGGCCCCGCGGCTTGCAAAGCACCAGCCATGCCAGCTCCGGCCCTGCAGCCACCTCCCCAGGTGCCCCTAGCACCACCGCCTATCCTGTGCATCCTTGTGTAGAACCGAACAGGGAACATCAAGAGAAACTTACCACTCCAGTCTCCTCCAGCTATCTTCGGAACTAAGTAGGAGATGGTGTAGTTGGGTAGCAGTGAGGGGTGCAAAGTTCCTGCAACTTGCACTTGCAAAGTTTCTGCCCAGCTATTTTGGCGCGCTCAGCAGCAATTCCTATTGGCTTTTGAAAGCCAATAGGGGGAGTAGCACAGCTCATGCAAAAGTTGAAAAAAAACATCAAAAAAAGGTCCTGGAACGCCTTCTGAGCATTCTATGAGGAAAAAAAAGCCCTGCAGATTAGTCTTCAAATATAGAAAAAGAGGACATTTAGGAGGACACTTTTCGAGGGAGGACAGAATTCACAAAAGGAGGACTGTCCTTCCTACAGGAGGACAGTATATGGGAAAGGAGGACATTTAGGAGGACACTTTTCGAGGGAGGACAGAACTCAAAAAAGGAGGACTGTCCTCCCAAAAGGAGAATGGTTGGTCACCTTATTTAAGGTAAAAAGGCTGCAGTTTGGGGTTAATGTGGCCCCTGGAATATTCCAAAGTGTGATGGAGCGAATGCTCCATGGTATTCCTAGGGTCTGTCCCTACTTTGATGACATTCTCATTGCTGGGGAGTCATCTGGGAACTTAGCTGAAAGGCTGAGGGCTGTCTTACTGTGTTTTCGCCAAGCAGGGCTGAAGCTGAAGCAAGACAAATGTAAGATTGGAATTACCTCTACTGAATTTCTGGGGTTCCGTATTGATGCTGAAGGCATCCATCCTGCTAAATCCAAAGTCAAAACAATTCAGCAGGCCCCAAGTCCCAAGTCCAAAAGCGAACGTCAGGCTTTTCTGGGACTGTTAAACTTCTACCATGCATTTCTACCTCACAAGGCCACATTAAACAGGCTCCTTGGCAGTGGACACAAGTCCATGAAAAGAGTTTTTCAGAAGCCAAGGCCTTGCTGGCCTCAAATGCTGTGTTAGCTCATTTCAATGAGCAATTGCCTGTATGCATAGCCTGTGATGCATCCCCTTATGGGGTTGGGGCTGTGCTGAGCCACCTCAAGGCTGATGGGACACAAGTCCCTGTGGCCTACTATTCCAGGACTCTCTCATCTGCAGAGCGTAATTATGCGCAGATTGACAGAGAAGCCTTGGCAATAGTGGCTGGCATAAAGAAATTCCATGATTTCTTATATGGCCGCCACTTCATGGTCTACACAGACCATAAGCCTCTGCTGGGCTTGTTTACAACAAACAAACAAACCCCTCACATAATATCTCCACGAATGCTGAGATGGTCAATTTTCCTGTCAGCATATGACTTCACCCTGCTTCACAAACCAGGTAAAGAAATGGGCCATGCAGATGGCCTCAGCAGATTACCTCTACAGCAGGTAGAGGCAGATCCTGCTCCTGCTCTGCACATTCTCTCCATTCAGGAATTGCCTGAATCTCTCCTCGATGCTAGGGACGTGGCTGCAGAAACTGCCACTGATCACATGCTTACACGCATGCTGACATGGGTGTTGTCAGGATGGCCTGACATGTGTCCTGGTGCAGAATTCCAGACTTTCTGGCAAAGGAAGCATGAGCTTTCCACTTTCAAGGAGTGTATCCCATGAGGTAGCAGGGTAGTCATCCCAGCCTCATTGAGGACTAGAGTCTTGCTCTCTCTGCATGAGGGACATCTGGGAATAGTCTGGATGAAGGCGCTTGCGTATAGCCATCTCTGGTGGCCTGGGCTCAATAAAGAGATCGAGACCCAGGTTCATGGGTGCCAAGCATGCCAACAGTCAAGGCCTGAAATGCCCCAGGCCCCTGTACATAGGTGGGAAGAGACACATACTCCATGGTCGAGGGTACACATTGACTACGCTGGGTCCTTTCAGGAGCAATTCTTCCTTCTCCTCATGGACAGCCATTCTAAGTGGCTAGAGGTTGTTCTTGTCTCCACTACTACTGCTAGGACCATCCAGGTGCTGAGAGGAATCTTCACCTCACATGGTCTTCCAGACATCCTTGTCTCTGACAATAGACCCCTCACATCTTCTGAGTTTCAGGCTTTTCTTCAAGCCAACGTGATCCGGCATGCCACATCTGCACCATTCCATCCAGCTTCCAACAGCCAGGCTGAGCGTATGGTGCGTACTACCAAAGATGCTTTAAAGAGAATCACTCATGGCAACTGGCATCACAGGTTAGCTGACTTTCTTCTTTGCCACCATACCACACCTTGTACTGCCACTGGAAAGAGCCTGCTCAACTCCACAGGGGTCGCAGACTCATTACCAAACTGGACGGGTTGCACCCAGACTGGGTGGCTTCACAGATGTCACAACGCAGGCACCTAGGAGACTACAGGTGAGTGATCTGGTCTGAGCAAGGAACTATGGACCAGAACATCTCTGGGTGACCGCAGTGGTATCCAAGGTCTCTGGGTCACTGTCATATGAAGTGGCCTTGGACGATGGTCGTGTCTTAAGGCAGCACATTGATCAACTATGCTGGAGGCTTCCTAGCAACACTTCTGCTCCAGGCTCTGCTCGTGGGGGGGGGGAGGAAGACCACAATTATGATCATGGGCCACAGACTCTCCACAAAAGTGAGGATACACTGGTTCCAAAAGGGGGTTCTGCCTACGAGGCGGCTCCTGACTCGGGCACTGGGTCTATGGATTTGGCCAGTCAACCGGCACTACAGGCTTCTCCATCTGCTAGTCTTGGGCTCATGGAACAGTACTCCCAAGAGGGGTCCATTGTGGACTCAGGGAATTCCACCCCACCAAGGAACTCTGGTCTGGGGTTACAGGCTCCGGCCAGTCAGTATGATGGAGGGTCGCCGGATTCAAGGGGGCATCTACGTCCTGGTCTGCCAAGCCTGGCAGGCGAGCTCACAGGTCAGGCACCCACAACAGCTCTAAGAAGATCAGAGCAAGCAAGGGGTCCCTCCAAGCATTTACAAGACTATGTAAGGTTCTTGTCAGTTCCAGAACAGGCCTAATAGTCTTGTGAAAAAATAGAATGTATGTAAAGGAGGCTTAATAGTTCTCTTGAACTCAGGGCACACTCAGAGTTGGGGTGTTTTGTTTGATAGTATTAAATAATATGTGGTATTCGTGTAAATATGAGAAATGTAATGACTGGGTCTGCCTGCATGCAGGCATAACTGTGATAAGAAATAACAACATGCTTAATTGAATACATATATATGTATGCTGCTATAAAACAGTAAGTATTCACTTATTGTTTTATCCAAGGGGGGGGGAGGGATGTTATGTCCTGAGCCTGCTGAATGACTCAGCAGGCTCAGGAGGCTGCAGAAGGCCCAGGCAGACCACGTGGGTGCCGGGGACCAGACAGGCTGTCTCCAGCCTTGTGAGCATGTGGAAGGTGGGAGACTAACCTTGCATTGATAGGCTGATGCTGTCACTGCAAGGGAAGTATAAAAGAGCCAGTGCCATTTTGTTTGTGTTCTGTTCTGTTTGTGATCTCAATAAAGAAATTGTGTTTTGTTACTCCTGCCTCGCTTCGATGTCTCTGATTCTAAAACAGAACAGGTGCGTCAGCTATATATTTCACAGGCCAAGCTATACAGGATAAGATTTTCATGGGAAAAAGTATTTATTGTTGGAAATTAAAACTAAGGCAGCATATGCTCCCTTCTCAAGGGTAATCATACAATGGCATCTGAATTTCTGAAATGAATTTAACCCAGAATCTTGGCAGAATAAATCAGCACAATCTCCACCAGGATTCAATGAGAGTACTAAATTTCAGTAATTTATGGAGCCTATGGTATAGTATCTGTGAAAAAGCCTGCTTTGGATGCTGGACACTTTGGCCAAAATGCTCAAAATCCATCCCAATTCATGTTCTGCACTTCAGTTGGATGTCATGTTGAGAACAAAGATAAAACACTTCATCAACACTTCCGCTTTATTAGTTGCTCCTTATTGTTCAGATTGGGTCTCAATAATATAATGTAACATTTGGAGCCAAAGATGGAGCTGAGTAGACCAGCACTGGAGGCCAAGATGGAGAAGATCTCCACAGCGACTGTGTATTTTCCTTTTGTGCTTAAATAGACTGGAACAAATGATACCCAAACACTACAGAACACCAACATGCTGAAGGTGATGAATTTGGCCTCATTAAAACTGTCAGGTAGTTTCCTAGCTAAAAAGGCTACAACAAAGCTGATTGTAGCTAGAAAGCCCATGTAACCTAACACACAATAAAACATGGTGGCTGATCCTTCATTACATTCAAGTATTATTTCTCCAAAAATTGAATGCATGTCTAGATTTGGGGAGGGAGGGGAGATTCCCAACCATAAGACACAAAGGCCTATTTGGAAAAGAGAACAATAACACACAATGGAAATGGCCAGTCTCTTCCCCATCCATTTCCTCATTCTAGATCCTGGTTTGGTGGCCATGAAAGCAAGAATCACAGTGATAGTTTTGGCCAAGATGCAAGAAACAGTTATGGTGAAAATAGATCCAAAACCCACTTGTCGAAGAAGACAGGTCACTTTTCTGGGTGGGCTGAGGAAAAGGAAGGAGCAGAGAAAGCAGAGTAGGAGGGAGAAGAGGAGAGCATAGGTGAGATCCCGGTTGTTGGCACGGACAATTGGTGTGTCCTGATGCTTAATGAAGACGACCAGGACCTGGACTGTGAGCAGAGAAAATAAAACAGCAAAAAAAGCTAAGCTTATTCCCAGAGGTTCTTTCAAGGAGAGATAGTTGATTGTCTTTGGAATACAATGAGATTTATTCTTGTTTGGATAGTGATCTTCTGGACACATGGTACATATATCCATGTCTAGAAAGAAGAGGTGCAAAGCAAAGTAGACTAAGCTGATTTACAATGTATTTATGGAAAATTCTGCAATCATCTATACACCCAGATTTTCCAGCAGAAAATAGGCCTACTAGGGCACAACACCATCCAGCACCTCCTTCCATTCATTGAGAAAGGACCCCCCCCCCAATCACACACACACAAATATCCTTTCTTGCTGCATATCAAAAGCAATGTCTCCTAATAAAAGTAAAACTGGGCTTCATTTCAAGGGACATTTTGTTTCAAACTATCTACTCTGTTCTATGATGGGAATACACTTCCTTCCTAGTCACTGGTTGCAATGCTGTATGGCTATTTTGTTTTTGGCTGAAAAACTACAGTATATGGTCACTTCTGAAATGATCACTGCTAGTGTAGTTGTGGTGGGTTTTCCTTTTTTGTTTTTAATTCAGTTGGCGAAACCAGCTGAATTCCACCTTCTTCCTGTTTCTGTACCATTTAATTATCTGCCTATGCTGTGCTTGGTTTGCTACAGTTGAGGTAAGGTAGAAAAGGAGACTGAGGCCAAATAAAATTTTGCTCAGCTCAACTTCTGAAAAGCTTTTAATTTTATGAAAGAGGTGTGTAATTACAGACATTTTTAAGTTGATGAAAGATAAAATTGTAGTTCCCATTCCTTCCTTCCTTCCTTCCTTCCTTCCTTCCTTCCTTCCTTCCTTCCTTCCTTCCTTCCTTCCTTCCTTCCTTCCTTCCTTCCTTCCTTCCTTCCTCTCTCCCTCCCTCCTTTCCACCAGAAGATGCAACAAGAAAGTGTCAAGTGCAAAAAGAATCAGTGTGTGACATATGGGTAGTATACATTTAACAAGAGTTGCCAGTAAGAAGGTGCCCTTAGTAAGTCTAAATTATTTTAAACTGAAAATAACAGTCTATGTTGGTATTCAGTATTATTTTAGCAGCTGTTGTATGTGCTGACCCATGGTGGTACAGTGTTTAAAATGCACTATTTCAGGCTAATTCTACCGGCTTCCAGCAATTTGATTCTCACCGGCTCAAAGTTGACTCATAGCCTACCATCCTTCCAGGGTCAGTAAAATGAGTACCCGGATTGTTGAGGGCAACATGCTGATTTTGTAAACTACTTAGAAAAGGTTGTCTAAGAATTATTGCTATTGCTGTTGGTATTGCTTTCTATTCTTTCCATGAACCAAAGGACTTCCTTATCAATTGAGATGAACTGATTGTGGGCATTGAATTCAAGTGAGCTATGGAAAAATGGTCTTGGTCCAGTAAATATTACATTTTGGAGGTTAGCTTATGGAAAGACTCTAACCAGGGAGACCACAATTCTTCAAAGAACAACTATAGAAAGGAAAGTGATCAATACTTTCTTTCTTGGCAGGCCAGGAGGGGTTCAGAATTAGGGAAATGCATCAATTGGAGTAAACATTCTCTGGGTGATACACAACTTGTTACCCTGGCCAAAGATCTGGCTTGTGCATGAGAGGCTAGCAGCTTAAGGATGCATTGCAGCCAAGCCGTTCTGTGCTGTCTCTTACCCTTCTCAGTGGAAACTTTGCCCGGAGGACATGGAGAACAATCATAGCAGCAGAATTTTGCCCCTTCCTTCTTCTTTTTGCTAGAACCAGGAAGGCAGTTTGGGTTACACACAGAAACAGGTGGGACCTGTCCATTTGAAGAAACCATGGACGTAAATCATAACTAAATAACACAAATAACCTCACATTTCTCACAATAAATGCATGGTTCTACTATCCTCACCGTCAGATTTTATAAACTATTAATATCCTTACACCATCAATACATCTGAGAAATATGAAGAAATTTATGGAATAATTATTTTGTTTCAAGACCTCACAATTTGAACATTACATTTGTTTTCCCTTCAGTGCTGTCATTGTTTCTGAATTGTTTCAGATTGAGATCTTTTATTGGAGAAGAATGCCAGAATACAATTAGCAGCAGAATAGATAGTCCTCAACATCAGGGCTTTTCAATCTTTTCACCCATTGTACCACTTTTAGGATGTGGCAATATCTGAGTATCGCCAGTTACCTAGCAAGGTGTCAAAAACTTGATGTCCAAAAAAAAAAGGAAAAGTGATGAAGTACAGGTAGTCCTCGACTTACAACAGTTCACCTAGTGACTGTTTGAAGTTACAATGGCACTGAAAAAACTGTTCCCCAAGCCACAGCCGAGCAAGACGCCTACCCGCCCAGCCGTGTTCTTCCTCCTGTCCGAGGTTTTCATTGTTGTGAGCATTTCTGCTGAGGATTGGCAGCAGAGGTGAAGTGGGGGGGGGGGGTGTTCGGTTTTTATTCCCCCCATCTGCTGGGTGGTTGCAGCAGGTTTGGTCACTTCACATGACCCTGGGACACTGTGACTGTCATAAATATGAATCAGTTGCCAAAAATCTGAATGTAAATCACAAGACCCTGGAGATGCTGCAACATTCCAGCTGATTGGTGCTTCTTCTGTGCTCAGCAGAAATGCCAGGATCAGCGCTGAGCTCCAGCTGGAGTCTGGCGCTGATCCTGGCACTTCCACTGAGTCCTGACAGCTCCGAAGCACTGATCCTGGTGGTTCTGCTGAGCGCTAACAGCCCTGCAGCTCCAGCCATCTCTCGCTCAGGCTTGTGTGGTACTGCCACTGGTTCAGCTCATTCTCTTCCCCGGCTACTTTTCTAGGATGGTCGCGTATCACCTGCCAGATGCCAATGTACTACAGGTGGTACCCGTACACTGGTTGAAAAGCCCTGCTCAAGATCACTGTTGAAGTTACAACGGACCAGAAAAAAGTGACTCACAGCATATCAACATGCTTACTAATGTTGCAACATCTCCCTAATCACAGGATCAAAATTCAGCATTAAGCAACTGCCCCATTTTCGAGACTGGTTTGCTACATAAAGCAAGTTACAAGTTGTCTTGAATATTCAATTCTGCACCCACTTATTTACCACATACTACCCTTGTTCTTTAATGCAATTCTTTGCAAAAAGCAATAACTGGAACTTTGTTTCATCTCTCAGATTTGTGTCCAGTTTCTATCCATCCTGTGTCTCACCTGGAGAAAGCTATGGTGCCATACCACTTTGTTCCCATCAATGGTAACTCTCTTGCCTGGGGCGGCCATCACATCAACTCTTCCAATCTTCACTCTCATAAAGGAATTATTTGGATGTGAATCCACTTTGGTATCATGTTGATATATTCCTCTATATATGTGGCTTTTGGGATTCTCTCTGAGAAAGCATAGCAGATGCCTTTTTGGGAAAAGAGAAGCTGGAGTTTCTGCAGAAATATCTCTCCACTTTCATTATCCACAGCAAGGAATCCAACCCACTTCCATCCAAAATGTAGAAGTAATTCAACAATGCCAGCATGCTGGTGAGCTTCATTTGAAACCATTCGGTAAAAAAAAGGTGCTTGAATCTGATCATCTGGTGCAAAGGAACCATAACTGAGCTAAAAGGCAAAGAATATTGATTTCTGGCAAGTGCAAGAGATGAAATTTGGATTTTTATTTAGTACATTGTTACATTAATGAAGAAACCTAATTTAGAGATAAACAGAAATGTAACATCAGGACTTCTCCCATGGCTGTTGCCAAAATTTTACAAGTTTCTCTCATGCCACACAATTTTTGATTAAAAGAAGGAGAAAGATAAATGAGGTGTGAAGTTACCAAACTAATTTCATACTTGGGGCATGTTGTAGCTCATCAAGATTGATGACATGTGCAGGGATGTATCAAAATCCAGTCCTCCAATGACTGCCATCTGATTTTTCTGCCTGTTGCATCTGTAATTGGGTATAAATCTATCCCGAATAGAAAGAAGACCAAGAGTACCCTGCAGGGTCATCCTTTCATTGAAGTAACTGTCATAGATTTGGAATCCCAAGGTGACATTTGGTAAAATATTGGGGTTCCCATTGATCTCCTTGACAGCAAATACCAAGGCCAGAATGTGCTGATAATTCTTTGGTACAACGCTGAAATGAGAATAGCACATCCAAGCCGTTATCGTTTCTTTATTTAAACTGGGGATATCTGACTCTGTAACTTTCACTTTCTTGACTTGTTCCCTGTCATAGCAATGTTCAATATTAGTATTTCAAAAGCTATGATATTTTTATAATCTTCATGAAAATCTGTGTCTGTTTCCAGGGGGAAGACCAAAATGAAAAGCCAATCAAATTATATTGCAAAATATCCAAGTGAAGATATTTCAAGGTATTATAAAATCAAAAAAGTGAAGACTTTGATGACAATTAAAACTCACAAAACAAAGACAATAAAGTATCCTAACAAAAGAAAAAGAATCCTCTGCCATTAAACGCCAAAGAAACAAAACTTAAAAAGAAGCATGAAAACAATGAGGAAACAAGACCGTAGATATGGTATCAGATGTTTGTTCTGATCCCCCAAAATATAAATATTTATTTGTATTGTAAATAAATATAAGCTGTACATACAGTATCCCTTGACAACTTGTACATGTTTATTTAGTAATGAGCCTTGTTGCACTCTATGTGTTTGTTCTTATTTGATGCTCACAAACAATTGAACAAACTCCTAACATTTTTTATTTACTTCTATGACCACTTCTTTCCAAGGTTGCTCAGGGCCAGTAGAAATTAATAATTATGATATAACATAAAAAGGATTAAATCAATAGATTGCCTAGCAAATTGTGTCTAATATGGAAGGTTCTGAAGTAGCAATCAGCATAAAATTCTAATAATGAGAACAGTAATCAACAACCTTTCATCACAGAAATAATAGAAGTTATAAATTGAATCTATTTCAATTTAACACACAAATGAACACTTAAACATATTAATAATGTTTTCCTATATATCAAAGTATACAAAGGTGGGATTAGTCAATTATATCGAGCAATGTTTTAAAATATCTTACAGGAGATTAAGAATTTGAGAGATGGGTAGATGGTCTGTGAAGGCTTCATAATTCAGAGAAGACAGAAGATGAGAAGTAAGCCCACCAATGATTAAGTCACCTGGCTGATCATACTGGTGAGGGATATGGAGTTCATTAATGTTGCAGAAATTGACCTGTACTTGGTGCCACATATGAGGCTGCACTAAGAACATCAGCACTATAAACCTTGCCATTTAGAAGACAAGTAATCTCCTACACAAGAAACATGAACATAAACCTTGTCTAGCAGCCTCTTATGATGGCACTTAATGGTTGTGGTGTCCTGGTTGAATTCTGACTTAAAACTGAAGAGAAGAGCTGGGATCAGCCTCAATAGGATTTTGCTACCTTTTCTGCTGTTTCTGTTGTTGGAAGCAAAATGGAGGGTTAACAGTCAAGGGAGGCCTTATTGAAAGATTACAGGGAAGATAATAATAGGGGTTTTTGATAGCAGATGTCTTGGAAAAAATAAGAAAATATGTTTACCATCTTTTTCCTCAAATGAGTTTCTTGGCTTTTTTGAGGAAGCAAAAAAAAAAAAACTCCAATGAGACAAACAAATGTTGAGTGTTGGACTAAAAAGCAAGAATAGGGCATCTGATAGCCAAACAATATCAGCCAAATGAAGTGATTCCAGATATGTTAGTCTGCAAATTCTGTCATTCCTTTCCAATTAAGATGGGGAGGATGCAGACCTAAAATGTCTTCCTGGTTCGTTATCTTCACCCAACTTTCCAGCTGCTTTGCTGGAATACCTTCCTTTATTGAAGCCACCCCCCCCCCAATTATTTTGTCCTGAATCTTGGTATGCTTGATGTACTCTTACTAGGAACCTGGAATTAGTCCATGCTACTTGGCTCTCTGTACAGCTTTAAGATGCAAAATTCTAAGACCCATGATATATGGCTCCTTTGCCTGAGAGTCCAGCCTCATCCATCATTATCCACCTCCTCTAGTTGGCAAACTTTGTGGTTCCTGCAGTTTCCTTCGCCCCCCCCCCCATCCATGAGGGACTGCAGGAAGGAAGTGGAGAATGAGGAGTTTTCACATAAGCAGGCTATCAGTGCTAACTTCGGATGTTATTGCTAACAACATCCAAAATCTGGATTTTGGAATTCAAACCTTAAATTTAATGTATAATTTAGACCACTGATGAGACCGAGTGCACAGACTGCAACCGAAAACCAAGTTACGTATCGTCGGGTGACGGGTGCGTATAGCCCATTGGGTGGGTGTGGCCAGTTGGGTGGGCATGGCCCATTGGATGGCTGTGGATGTGGTGGTAACAGCAGACTGGGTGGGACTAAAAAGTTCAATCAATCAATTCCAACTTTGCGAGATCTTTTTTTTCCCCGTGAGAAGTTGAAATTGATTGATTGATTGATTGATGGAAGCTTTTTTTTTGCACACGGCAGCGGGGGCCTTAAGTGAAAAGGTTTTATAATACCCAGCCGAAGGCCTAGGACTGGGGCAATGGTGCATGTGCCCACAGAGAGGGCTCTGCGTGCCACCTGTGACACACGTGCCATAGGTTCGTCATCATGGATTTAGACTATTCATTTTAGGGCATTGTTTATTATCTATAATTTTTTAACGGCTTGTATTATGCTAACTCAGGTTTTTACCTTTAAGTTTAACAGGAGCACAGGTTTCATTCTGGAAACAAATGTAAAAGCAATGATGCATTAAAACATATTAGTTTTATGACATTTCATATCTGTTACTTATCCACATGTATTTCA